AGGGGTGTCCTTTCAAGGAATCTTACAGGGCAACGATCACTACCGATGCCAGCCTGGTAGGATGGGGAGCTCACTTCCAATCCCACACTGTGCAGGTAATTTGGACTATTTCCGAACAATCACAAAGCATCAACCTGTTGGAGCTACAAGCAGTTCACCTGGCCCTACGCAGTTTCTACCCCTTTTCCAATCACGCCACGTTCTGGTCGTGACAGACAATATCACAACCAAGGCCCACGTAAACAGACAGGGGGGTACCCATTCGAAACTTCTGATGCTGGAGACGGCCAAGTTGTTCAAGTGGGCTGAGGCCAATCTGTTTTCGCTCAAGGCAGAACACATAGCAGGGGCCTTAAACACACAGGCGGACTGGCTCAGCAGGGCCACGATAGATCAGGCAGAGTGGCGCCTACACGCGTCTGTCTTCCAGGAAGCAGTGCAGAGGTTTGGGCAACCGGTGATCGATCTACTTGCCTCTTCTCTCATTGCCCAATTGCCCCAGTATATTTCAAGGTACCTGACTCGGGGCGGATACCGTCAATGCCCTGCGTTGTCAGTAGCCTCCCAGACTTCTATATGCGTTTCCTCCACTCCCGGTAATGCCCAGGTTGATCCAGAAGTTATTGGAGGAACGAGCGGAATTGATATTGGTCACCCCTTACGGGTCCAGGCGAACGTGGTTTGTAGGCTTACAGGACCTGTAGAGAGAACAACCTTGGAAAATTCCACCGTCAAAGGTTTTCCTCTCCCAAGGGCCGATACTTCACCCGAACCCACAATGGCTCAGTCTAACCAATTTCAGCCCAACAGATTTCAGAGGATGCTATTGCCACCATTCAAGCATCCAGACGGTCCTCAACAAATCGTATATATAAGGCCACGTGGTCCACCTTCTGTCGCTGGTGCCAGGGGTCTAAGATCGACCCAACTGCCCCATCAATACCACAATTATTGGCCTTTTTACAGGAAGGGTTGACCAAGGGCCTATCTCCAAATACTTTACGCAGACAGGTGGCGGCTTCAGCCTCGGTGATAGCCTGGGGTGACCTCCGGTCCATAGTGCACCATCCACATGTCCACACCTCTCTTAGGGGTGCTGCAAATTTACGACCTCCTGTAATTCACTGCTATCCCACCTGGGACCTCAACAAGGTGTTAACCGCACTTACAACTGGCCCGTTCGAGCCTTTAAGAAATGATAGTCTTAAATTCCTGACATATAAGGTGGCCTTCCTAATTGCAATCACATCAGCAAGGAGGATTTCTGAATTGGAGGCATTGTCAATGAGAAAAGACCTGTGCATGTGTCATGCGGACAGAGTGATTCTCCAATTGGATCCATCGTTCACTCCTAAAATAAAATCAGCCTTCCACAGAGCGCAAGAGTTGGTGCCTCCAAAAACTTTGTCCGAAACCATCTCATAGACTGGAGCATCAATGGCATCGACTTGACGTTTGAAGGGCCTTAAGCATCTATCTAGACCGCACGGTGGCATTTCGAAAACCTGAGGCTCTATTCCTATCCTTCAACCCATCCACTTTAGAGCAAAAGCTGTCGGCGACGACCATCGGTAGATGGTTGAGAGTCACCATAGCTAAACGTTACGAATGCCAGTCCATCTCAGTTCCCAAGGGCATTACAGCCCACTCAACAAGGAGTGCGGCAACACCAGCAGCATGGGCCACACGGGCTTCCATAGACGAGAGTGTTGCAGAATGGCAACTTGGGCTTCACCATCGCCCTTTGTCAGAAATTATAAAATTGATGTCTATGCCTCAGCGGACGCTTCATTTGGCAGAAGAGTCCTGCAGAGGGTCCACAGAGTTTAGGAGTGGATTTCGATCCAGACGGAGTCCCTCCCTAAGGACAGGCCAAACTTTGGTATGTCCCACTTCTGGATGCTCTGAACAGCTCATGGGAGAAAGGGCGTTGGTACTTACCTGATACGCCCGTTCTCTGTGAGCTGTGAAGAGCATCCAGAAGTGGGAGGTGCTTCAGTCTCTTCTGGAAAGGCTGGGCTTAAAACTCCGGGACGCTCCTCCTCCTCCACGGGACACCTCCTCAGCGTCCCCCAGTTTTGCGAAGACTGAGTGCCAAAGTCCGTGACTCATCACCTAATCTAGATCCCTGACTGGAATGGAACCCCACCAGACGGAAAGAAATGGGTGGGGCTGGATGCTCTTCACAGCTCACAGAGAACGGGCGTATCAGGTAAGTACCAACGCCCTTTTCCTCCCTTAGATGTTTAAATCTTTTCTCTATCTTTCCCCCTGTAATAATAGCAACAGTTAAAATGCAAATATTCCAAAAGCTTTCAAGGACTGTCAATTGTATTATTTTAAATACACCTATAATTACATTTTTGATTATGCATGTGTGTATTTATTCACTGCATTTCAGTCCTCTCACTTCAAATTTACTGCTGGTTTGGGAGAAGTTGCCATTTTACAGCACAGGTGCAAATCAACAATATATCTAGATGTTTTTGTGTTTCAGTATCTTGAATTTAGTTTCCATAGGCTTTTCATCTATATCAATATTTGGAACAAGTGCATTTATATATATATTTTGTTTTAATTGCACAATACCCAGAGTTTTTTTCCCCCCAGAGAGCTCAAGAAGTATGTCAAGGGAATTTTCCTTAAATTAGAATTGGTTCAGCTACACAAAATAAGATGGGCTGACAGAGTAGAGCAAAATTATCCAGAGCTCTGTGATCAATTGGGATTTGAATAATGATCCCTATGGTGCTGTAACTATTAGGCTGTATTGTCTCTAGTTCTTAACAGGTATTTCAGGATAGATTCCCCTTTCCTGCTCCCAGCCATGCATGCTCACATACACACATTCTCCTGTAACGTTTCATGTCACAGACTGATGTTGCATTTAACTGTTAGCAATCAGTCAATCAATTAATAATCCTGGATGTACTTTGAATCCATGAAAATCTACTTCCACACACTGTTCTGGGTGTCTCCATATATATTTGTTTGCAACAACATTAATTTTCCTGATGGATTTTTTTTTTCTGTAATTAAAGCTTCTTGTGCAAGTTGAATAGCCAAATAGAAATGTCTGATCCCGCTATCCGCTACAAGAATTCTCTTCTAGTTGGGTTAAAGCTGCCTGGATGTGAGGACTTTTCATCCATAGAGTAGCATTTCCCAATCAAGAGTGTTGAGCAGTGTGAGGGTACTCTTGGACTCACAGCTCCTGTTCAAAATAGCAGGTGGCAGCTCTAGCCAAGGGAGTCTTTGCTTAGTTCCATCTGGTGCACTAGTTCAGGAAGTTTTTCAGTGGGTCACTCAAGCTCTAATCCCCTCAAAGTTTGATTTGCAGTGCGCTGTACATGGGCTAGCCTTGAAAAACCACTTGGAAGTTTCAACCACAGAACGCAGTGATGTGGGCATTGATGGACAGTATGTTCATATGGTACATCTCTTCCATGAGCTGCACTAGTTGATTACCAGGTGCAATTCCGGGTACCGGTTATTACCTGTAAAGCCCTTCCTAGCATGTGGCCAGATTATTTTAAGGATCTGCCTAGCTCCCGTAGTTTCTGCCTGCCCAGTACATGCTGGCAGAGTTGACATGCTCTGGATCACTTCAATTAAACAATGTCAGCTATAAAGAACCAGGAAGCCACCTTCTCTGTTGCAGCACCCATCCTTTGGAATGAGATTCCCCTGAAATCTGGGCTCCTAGCCGGTTTGCATTTCATGAAGCCTTGCAATCCTGGTTGTACTCCCTCTAGTTATTTTGTCTGCATTTTGTGTCTGGACCCTTTATTGTTTTGGGTTTGTATCGGTTTTCGTGTTGTTTGTGAACTGCCTAAAGTTATTTGGACTCGGACAGTATCTAAATTAAAATTAATGTGAATATGTCACATTACACTAAATCCTGAGCCACGTTTATAATCAGATTTAATATTAAGGTGGGTATGATACTAATTTGTTATAGCGGTTACTGTGCTGTTTCAATCGGGCAACTCTAGGCAGCTTGTAATAAAAAATGATCTAATATAGTAAAGAACAATAGGAACTATTAGCATAAATTCAACTCATGGTAATATTAAAATATATAGCATCTTGTAATAATAAAACAGTTAGAACCATTCCAACTCAGATGCATCACCCATTCTTGTCGCAATCACCAAATGCATATCTAAGAAGCCATTATTTTTAAAAAGTTTAAATACTAGGAGTAAAGGTATGGGAGGGCATAAGAGAGTTTTTGCCTGTATTTTGATGCCTGGTTTTCATTCTGCTGTGTCTCTTATAAAGAGATGTGGTTTTACCCACCTGTTGGTTCCCATCTGTTGTGTTCCTGCTTCCTTGCAAATGATTTATATGTTACTATCAGAGGTAGATCTGGTAGCAGCTGAGGCTCAGCAGCCAGAGAGTGGCTCTGGCTGGAACTGAAAATTAAGAGAGTTGGTTTAATGTTAGGGTTCCAAGTAATACACCCATAGCAAACAGAACTCCGAGGCAGGATGGTTCCTCAAAGTTTTATTTGGCATATCATATTGGAACAGACTGGTGAAAACCGACTCTGGGTATTCCTGCAGTGTTCACTTAATTAAAAGTGAAAGTTCCGTCCTTTTCTCAAACAGTCGATCACATGGTCCAATCAAGGTCCCGTTCGGTCGTAAGGTGACATTGCTCCTCCTCTCCCTGGACACCTGTGGGAATGTCCTTGGTTCCCAGGAGAAGGTATTTTGTTTTGGCTACAAACCCCAACTATCTCTATTCCCCACCATCCCTATCCCTCAGCTCCAGTGTGGCAACACCGAACGCCTCAAAATTGCCTCAGTCAGGTCAGCTCCAGGGTTGACAGTTATATTGTTTCTTATAAAAATCCACTTCAGTTGTCGAATCTGTTTCTTTTTTGTGCTTTGCTTTCTATGATTCTTACTTATGCCTGAAAAAAAAAAATAGAGTTCTTTTGGAGAGGAGGCTACTTGGAAGTAATGGTCGGATTCATTTGTGCTTTTACACAGGAGTTTCAAGAGGTGTGGGGTTTATCCGGTTTGACAAGCGGATTGAAGCTGAAGAAGCCATCAAGGGCTTGAATGGGCAGAAACCTCCCGGGGCCACGGAGCCCATCACTGTAAAATTTGCCAACAATCCAAGCCAAAAAACAAATCAGGCCATCCTCTCCCAGCTGTACCAGTCTCCAAATAGGAGGTATCCGGGACCTCTTGCTCAGCAGGCTCAACGTTTTAGGTACGTGGAATTGTACGTTGTTTCTTATGTCAACCAGTCTGGATTTCCCCCCCTGACCAGTATCACTGTAGAAATATATTTTCCTCACATGAGAACTGTTGGTTGTTAAATTTAATATCTGACAGACATCGCAGAAAATACTTTGAGATACTGCCATCTGTTGGTAGCTATAAAAAGAAGAGAGGTTTATGTAGGCAGGTAGTAATATTTCACTGAAAAGTATCCGTTGTTCAGTTTGCAAGATGCGTTTAGGGATATTTGTTAAACTGTTAGAATAAGACATGTCTACAGAGTAGAAAACCTGTCTAAATCCTGTTTCTATAACAAGTCTTCTTTACTTCAAAGGAAAACCTTTTTTTTCCCCTGCAGTGGAATCTCAGTAATTATTCTGCATCTTTTTTTGGAATGTTTAGAAATTGATTTCCCCCTCCCCCCCCAAGTAGTTTTCCATTATTTTCTATGGATTTCTCTTCTGATGACACACAGTGCTATCAGCCATACGTTTTTTCCTTTATGATATTTTAGTGTGCCGAAAAAGACAGATGGCGTGAATTGAAACAAATACTGTATTAATCTACATTCACTAACTGCTCGGGGCTTTTATTTTAGTGTTGTTTTATGAAAGATTTGTGTGTGAGAGAGGGGGGAGATCAAGAGAGGGGATGATAAGCAGGCTTATTTTGAATTTGATGCTGTTTTCATGTGTGAATGCAAGAGAGAGATTAGTTGTGCTTATCGAGCAGCAGAAAGCTGAGAAAAACTTTGTTTTAAAGAAACCTTGGGACTTTAAAAAAAGAACAACAATGTGCTTATTTAAACACCTGTCCAATGGCACTCTCACCTAAACAACTTAATCCGAACAGCTCCTTTGCCATGTGCTATTAATTTGTTTACCATTCGTACTAGTGGACCCTTCTGTTGGAGCAGTTGAAAAAAAAAAAGCAACCAAAAGTTTTTATTCAGTATTCAGTGGTTTTCTGGAGTATTCAGTTTCTGCTCTGTTTTTGTTGTTCAAAGGATATTCTGTGAAGCCGCTGAATATTGAATAAAAGTAGACTTGCCCTTTCTCCATAGGCAGACTGCCTGCTCCAGAACTGAGCGCCAGGGCAGAGTTAGCAATGGTCAGAAGAAGAATTCCAGATTGCCTCGTGCCTGAAGTAAGGCCACTGGGGAATTGTTGCTGCACTGACATGAAAAAGAGGTAAATGAACTTTTGCAGAAATAGCTGGTGCCAAGGGTTGGGGCACGCAATCTCCAGTGGCCTTAAAAAACCCTGACTAGATCTTTCTCACAATGCCATGGGCCTCTCGTCTAAAGCAGAGGTCTCCAATCTTGGCTTACTTTAAGACTTGTGGAGCTTTGCTGGCTGAGGAATTCTGGGAGTTGAAGTCCACAAGTCTTAAAGTAGCCAAGGTTGGAGACTCCTGGTCTAAACTAAAGGATGTTCATGTTATATCAGCAGTGGTGGTAGATGACTCTGAAGGGAATAGGCCCCAAATGCTGGAAATGTGTGTTACAGGTTCAGACGTGGAGGAGCGAATCCCAAGGTTTTTGACCGCGTTTTCCATTCCACCGAAATAGATTTCACTGCATTTCTTTTCAGTTTCTTTTTGAAACTGCACATTAGATCATGTTGTCTAGAGCAATTTTAACACAGAATGTTAAGGATTGCTTGATTGATTGTTTTTAATCCGTTCGGCTCTGGCGATTTGTCGAATAAAAGAGCCATGTATTCCAAATGAGAATGGTGTTGCTTGCTCAGTTCATGTTAACTTAGGCATTGTTCGGGTTCCTCTCTGAAATTTAGGAAGACATTGCTGCACACACAGAATGTGTGTGTGTGTGTGTGTGTTTGCATCGATTTTACAGAGCTTATCTTTGCATTTGTCTTCGATGGGTATCTGATTCTTCTCTAGTGTACTAGCTCTAGCTCTAGTATACTAAAGCAAGTACATTGTGCTTGCCATTGCTATTCTCTTACTACTGTTGTTAGTCAAAGTGTTTTAAAGGCAGTTAAAGAACGCTTGAGGGCCTCGGAAGCTGGAAAAGTATATACGTAATTTGTAATTCTTTTTATTTGTCACTGGCTCTGATAAGTCCCAGACTTTAAGCAGAATCTCACATAAAATAGCAATGTTAGCTTGAGTCCACAACTTGAGTCTGTGTAACTGTTAGTTAGGTGATTTTATTCTTAATGCCATTCTGGAAATTAAAGTCTGGATCTTCAGAACACTCAAAAGTTATCTCCACAAGTTATAAGTTACTGCAAAGGTTTTGCAGATAGTTCTCAACTTATGAACACAATTGTTCAATGGGTTTTGCCCCATTTTTACTATCTTTCTTGCCACAATTGTTAAGGGACTCCTGCAGTTGTTAAGTTAGTAACATGGTTATTAAATGAATCTAGCTTCCCCATTGACTTTGCTTGCAAGAAGTTCACAAAAAGATGATCACATGACCCTGGGACACTGCAACAATCATAAATATGAGTCAGTTCCCAGCTGTCTGAATTTTGACCATGTGACCATGGAGATGCTGCAAAGATCGTAAGTGTGAAAAAGGGCTATGTTATTTTTTTTTCAGTGTTTTTTTCAACAAACTATTGTTAATTGATGACTATGTGTACAGACAAGATTAAATGTGTTGATTTGGATATTTTTCCAGAAAACAGTCCTCAGTGATGGATTGCATTGTAAAGCTAATCATTAGGAGTTAATATATATTAGAATACTTCATTTCAATTAAAACTTTCTAGGATTCAATTCAATTTCAGTTTCCCGAGTAATATAAAACCATACAGAAGGTGAAATCTTCATGTCTTGTATTGAAGTGAGACGGCAGAGTCAAAGAATATGAATTTGTCTGTCTCTTTCAAAAGTGTCCTTAAGAATGGTCATCTCAGTGCATGGTGCTTGATAAAGCAGAGAAAATTTCTCCAAAGGTTGAAGCTTGGAAGTATGCTTCATCTTTTCGTTAAGGTGTGTGAATTATACTAGAGGCTTTAAATGGATATCCTCCTTACTAAAATACATATATCATTTTAATATTTCAGAATATGGGCCTTCTAGGTCTTCCACCAGCATGGAGAAAACAAGTCACTATGATGCTTGATCCAATATGTTGTTATCTATTGCTTGCTTGGTCTCTTCTAGTAAATAAAAATGATTCCTTGGATTGCCATTGTTGATAGTGTTGATAGTGTTCAGAGTGTTGATAGTTTAATAAAGCTATGATTCAGGTTAGCTCTGGCAGGGGAGCTAACCTTTTCTGTGGGCAGATATACGTTTTTTGGGAAATTACTATTGAGAACAACAATGAACAGGGGAACAGCTGACTTCTTGAGCTGACCTTGTTTGCTGATCTTAAAAAAATAGTTAAGTTTGGAGGGGAGGTGGTGAAGGGATGTTAATAGGTTACAACACTAAATGCCAAGCTTTAGTATTCTCTTGATTTCTCAGAATGCCTCTGGGCTCCAGATGGCTACCCAGGTTTCTTTGAAAATATAAAATGATGGTTGGCAGCTAGCCGGTGCTTTCTTTCAAAAATCTCATCTTTGGGCCGGGAGAAATGAGGGATGGCAGGTCACATTCTAGTTAATCAATCTTTTGTCACTGATTATGAAATTCATAGTTACAGCTGAAATTTGTTATTCTTTTCCCCTGCTTTGGGGGTATTTTCCAATGTTTCATTATTGGAGCTTTCTTTTATTTCCTGACAAAAATACAGAATAAATTGCATCCTTTTTTCTTTTTGATCAGAATGTTAAGTTCCTTCTAGGGAGTTTAAGAGAAGGAGCAGAGCTAGTACTGAATCCAGTCTGTGAAAAGTTTGTTCTGAGTTGCAGAAACCAATAATATTAAATCAGTAATTTTAACTCATGCCATTGGGTATCTATCTACCTGCAGCTGCCTAAAGAAGATGCCAAAATGTCAGCTAATCTTAGCAGATTATGTACAGTAACCAAAGTATAGCATTTTAATGTCCGACTAGATTCCACTTCTAAATAGACAATATTGAAAAATGCCATTGTTTTTATGTACCTTATTTCACATTGGGAAACAAATTATTATATAAACTTGTACGAATATAATTCATTTTTTTTAAAGACCTTATATTTTCCTGCCTGGATCTGTTTTGGAAATGTGCAACTGAAACCTACAGATAGTATATGATTTGTTAATGAAACTACCATTATATGTTGTTTTTTTAAATGACAATTCATATTTCATGTGTGCTAGTTTGCTGTTCAGTCATTCCTATTTGCTTAACATCCTGGATATGGAGATGGTAGGATTCAAATTATTGGCTACTGTTATTCACAAAGATAGATAGATGGAGACGGTTTTAATGGAAACTTCTATACAATTCTTACTACTTGGTAATCGATGTAAACGACAGTTTTGTTAGAAGCTGTGTGTTTTACAATACAACTCTTGAAAGTGGAAGTAGTTAAATGGAAGCGATGCTACTGTTAAAGCAAAGTAATGCTCTATCTTCACTAAAATATTGTAAGAGGAAAAGACTCGGTCTTAAAAGAATGACAGTACAGCAGTCCAAAAGAAGTATTCCCTCTTGAGAATGTCTTCCCATTCTTTATTCTTTCGAGGAACCTAAATGTGTGATAATTTGTATTCAACTGGTTGAAAGATTTGAATTCACATGCCAACAATCTGAGGTGAAATTGATAATTATTAGATTTTGCATTAAAACATAAATATTGCCAGTCACCTTATTGTTAAAAGTTGCATCTTTGTTCCCAAACTAGTAAAGTACATATTTCTATGCATTCAAAAATAATTTGATTTATCATCTTATGGACATTTTTGAGCTGGTTTATGTACAAGTATTAGCAGAACAATTTACAATATGGTTTAGAACCCTGTAAAACACGCAAGCCATTAATGAATATCAGTACATCTCACACATTTTTCAATCAACTTTAAAAAAGGGAAAGGAAAAAAATATCTTCATCAACAGTGGTCTTCTATCCCCTTTGTGCAATTGTTAATTAATAGTTAACATATTTTAGATTTAGGGAATGGAAGACTTTTAATGACTGGCCAAAATAAACTGTTGTAAAAATAAGACAATGTTTTATTGAGCTCAACATTTGCATCTACTTAAGCAAAACAAATCGTACATAATTATCAATATCTGAAATTATACCCAAATTTGGAATTTGTTATTAGGAGATTTAACTGCAGAAATCACGACTGTTCTATGCCATGTAAAGCTGACTGAAAAGCAAGCCAAAATATTCCATATTTGTTTCTTCCCATTATTCTTTAAAAAAAGGAAATTTTGGTTTGCTTCCAGTGATAAGTTGATAAATAATATGGAATATGTTTAATATGTTTTTAGTCATTAGAGTCTTCCCCCCTCCCAAAATTAAGCCCTAAGCAAATTTTTAAATCATTTTACATCTCTTAGATAGGTGAATTCCTTCCTGGAATGATGAAGATGGTAATGACCGTATGTATGGAAAGCATAGTTTGGGGTGGAGCAATGCCATATCAGGATATTTAAGATCTTGATACAATTTCTTTATTGTTTGGAAGGCTGTAGCCAGAAATAAAAATCAAGATGAGATTCCTAAGTGGGGAGAATTGTCTGAGAGTGCATACTATATTTTCTTTCAAAATTTGTGGTGTGCATGTTGACTGAACCTCTACCTAATAACCTAAGAGTTTCAAATTACTATATATTATGTCACTGCTAAAGCTGTTCTGGTTTTGAAAAATAATGACTCAGCATCCATGTGAGAGTTCCTGAAGAAAAGGTTTCGGTTTATAGGATAAAAAATGTGGCATTGCCCACTCGGTTGCAGTAAACTAGATTGCTTACTAATTTTTCTCATTCTCAGAATCAGGATACTGACTGATCGTTGAACCTTTAGCATTTCCACCTGATATAACCACCATATGGGTGTTTTAAAGGACAATAATAATTGTGGCGTACAAGTTTAGAGAAAAGAAAAATTGGCAGCAACTTTAAACAGCCCACAGTCTAGTCTAACCAAGCACTGCAGCACCAGATGCTTTTTTCCTTCTGAAAGGCTGTGTATATTTACATTTTATTGTAAGTTGCACATTGTAGCTTTTCTGGAAGTGGGGGAAAGACATCTTAAAATGCCTCTTAATGTAAATTTAAAACAAAATGGGAGCCAATTTTGTAATGCATATGTCCTGTTCTCATAACTTGTCTTGAAAGATGGCAATCACTTTAATTAACTGAGGAATATAGTAAATACTATAAAAGTTAATATCATAGAATGTAGTTAATATTATAGCCTGACTTTCTTTGGTTTCTCAGCAATTATTTAAATCCAGCATTACCCTATTTGCATTACATTGGAGCAAACAACTAACTACTTGGTTTGTAAGAAATTCATATTTTGTTATGAATCAAATGTTAAGACTAAAAAAAAAGTGGGATTCCTTTGTTCTTTTATGCTGAAATTGTAGATTTCTAACATAGCTACAGTTTCTGGCTAAATCTTACCAGCTTAAAATGTACAGAGCATCAAGATAATTTTATAATCATATATTCATAATTAAAATCTTGAGAAATAAAATTGCTATTAGAGTTTATGCAGAATCATATTACGTTTCTCACACAGACATACTTTTCATTTGTTCATTCCAACGAGTTTTCAGAGAAAGGCATGAAATATTGGCAAAATTGTTTCATCTTTAGTGGTCATATTTCTAAAGGATCGCTGTTCTGCATTAATGTGCATACCTTATCACTTTAGACATTCCTAATGATCTTGCTTATCCAGAATTAAAAGAATGAGTGCCTTTTTTAAACATAATTACATCATGTCACCTCAACTTGAAGCTGTGTTTATGAGAAATCTTGGACAGTATCTCTTCAGCAAAATTCAAGCAATGCCAATGTATAATCCTTGCACAACTGCAATTTTGCATACAGTACAGTTCAGAAAATTGAGCAACATAACATAATCAAAGTAAAAGATTGAAAAGTTAAATAAACCTTTTGCTAAATGTGTTTTGCAGGTTGGACAATCTGCTCAATATGGCTTACGGAGTAAAGAGGTAATAACAAATTGTGTTAGATCCATAATTAACTTTACTAATCATTTCTTCTTGTTTGAACTAAGAGTATTGGTACTTGATCTGTATTGAGTGATCATTGCATGTACAGAAGTTAATCATCTGTTTCCATTTATCACTTAATTTATCAGCTTTCTAGCATTGTTTAGGGCACCCAATATCTGCCATTTAAATGACATATTTGGGAGTCTTTTGTATCAGTCTTTGAGATAATTTGGACGTCTTATCTACTCAAAGGACATTTTAACAATTAAGAGGCCACCACCAGGTGTGGTTTTTTTTTTTTTTTTTTTTTAGTCATCTATCTGTACAACAAGCAGGTACAGATTTGGGGTAACATTAAGGATACTATATCAAGTATGTTGTATTACCTAAAAAGTTAAGAAGGGTTATAATAATTCCATAAGGCCATTTGGAGCTTGAGTTTCAAGAATGTATGTTTCATATAGGATTTGTTTGTTTGTTTTATCAAATTTATATAGCCACCCATTTTGCCAAAGGCAACTCAGGGAGGTACACAACAATAAATAAACCAAAACCTGGATGTAACATTAGAAATCTGAAGCTATTTTTTTCTGTTGAACAAAGCTTTCAGTTGTGTTTAAATAATTTGTTAAATCCACGGTGAAACAACACGATACAGACTGAATATGAACAAATGAAGGCATTTGTACTTTTTACTTTTTTTCACCATTCTGTTATTAATATAATTGTCCTTTAGGGGGGGAAAATAATTTACATAGAGATGAGTTAGTATTTTACTAATGTTTTTAAAAGGAACTAAACAAAAGATTCCTGAAATCGAATACTAATACTATAAGCAAAGCTCTTAGTGTTCCTTTCTCTTTTTTAAAAGAAGATATTGCTAGCCAGTCCTTAGCTAAAATAATAGAGATTTCTGTCTGGTTGTGTCTATCTAAAAGCACAACATGAATTTTTAGTAGATGGGTTCTCTCAACAGCACCTCTCTACAGCCCATGTTCTGGAGAACTGGTATCTGGAGCCATCAGGGAGGGGGAGGGGCAATAGAGTTTTGAACAAAGGTAGTTTGTTCAAAGTAGCTTAGTTTTTATATAATCTTTTTGTTTATATTATTCCCGACATATGAAAAGCAAATTCTCAAGAACCTTGGTTCATCGCATTCCAAAAGTTGCAATCACAATATTCCTTAGGCTTTCTGATAGCTGACTGCAGTTTGCTTTTCTGTCATATCAGCATTGAAAATAATTGAGTTAGTCAGTTTATCCTCAGCCCAGGCAAAAAGCAGAATAATCTGACTTGAGAAGGACTTAACTACAGAGCATCACAGCAACTATATTGTATTGTTCACAGTAAATTTGTATTAAAGTCACCTAAGTGGCACATGCCTTTGGTCAAATGGCACTATAACACTAATCAAGTGCTTTTTAAAAAATATGTTTATCCTGCCTTTATTGTTTTTATCAATAACTCAAGGTGACAAACATACCTAATAATCCTTCCTCTTCCAGTTTTGTGCCCTGTGAGATGGGTTGGGCTGAAGGAGACTCACCCAAAGTCACCCAGCTGGCTTTTATGCCTAAGGTAGAACTAGAACTCAGAGTCCTGGTTTCTAGGTCAGCATCTTAATCACTACACCAGACTGCCTTTGCACATATCTATAAATAACGTAACAAAAATGCACACTTAAAGGAAGAAACAATTGATCCATAAGATTTAGGCAGGAAGGCAGTTGGTTTAAGTTTCTTAAAGCATATTGATATATAAAAACAATTTCATTCTAATCTTGAGAAAAGTTTTCTTCTAAAAAAAGAATTTTGTCTTTCTTCCTTTTTTTTTTTTACCCGTCTGCGTTGATTAGCAGGTTTTCTCCAATGACCATTGATGGAATGACCAGTTTGGCTGGGATCAATATCCCAGGACACGCAGGAACCGGATGGTGCATTTTTGTGTACAATTTAGCTCCTGATGCAGACGAGAGCATCCTGTGGCAAATGTTCGGACCCTTCGGAGCCGTGACAAATGTGAAGGTTATCCGCGACTTCAACACAAACAAGTGCAAAGGTTTTGGATTTGTGACTATGACAAACTATGATGAGGCCGCCATGGCAATAGCCAGCCTGAATGGATACCGCCTTGGAGACAGAGTCTTGCAGGTTTCCTTTAAAACAAACAAAACGCACAAAGCCTAATGAGGTGTCCTCAGCCCAATTTATATTTGAAAACTATTCGACAAAGGCAAGTTAAAAGAATCTTTATACATTAGTAAATGTCTTTGTAAGTCAGTGTTGAGATGGGGGGAATAACAGACTAGCATCCTAAGAAATATTGTGAGATTTTTTTATTGCTAGTATTTGAATTAAACTTCTTAAATATCTTATGTTTGAAATATGGACAAGAGGTACAGGGTTTTTACCTGTCACAATGCATTCTATTGCCTTCTTTGAAGAAGGTGGACCTTTTAAAAAATGTTTGAGCTAAGGGAAGAAATTTTCTTTTTACACGACTGCCTTGAACCTGTGAGTAGATATTGAGGCTTTGTGTTAAAATTCCTGAGTTAGTTAACCTTATGTTGTGTTTCAGTTACACTTTAATGCCTTGCTGTTTAGTCTGTTCAAGAAGTGTTTTGAAGTTTACATTTTTATTTATAAAGTTTAAGAATATTTATTTTGTAATTATGATTTGGGTTGGGGAAGGGGGGGTGGTGCATTATAAAAGCCTATTGTAAGATTAATGGAGAACTTTTCGTAAAGCTGTACCTTGCCAAAGAGATAAGAGCCTCTTTGATGTGGGTTTAAAAAAAAAACAAAGCATCTATTTTTATAAAAAAGAGAAAATTTGGAGAAACTTTTTACAGGTCCTGGAACAAATATTTTGACTTGAATACTTTGAGAAATCTCTTCATATGACACCTAGTGAGCTTTTAAAACTTACCAGGAAATTTGCAGTGGTTGGGGGAAAACACTTTAGAGCGATTTATGATGTAGAAATTCTTTAAGAGATCTTTGTTACTCAAGAAATGGAATCACTGGGAGAATGCACTGCTGGTTTTGGTTTTGTAATCGTTGGTGCAGTCTCTGAACATCCTGGTTACTATGTGATAGATGGCTCACATTAAACTTGTGATTTTGAAACAGAAGAAAATTTAAAAGTATATAAGAGCAGGCAAGAAATTTAAATTAACTGAGATGGGGGAAAAATCTGTTCTTCCTATAGAATTCCCTTCAGATAGAGCTCATGGTGTTTAGTGATGTACTTGCAGTATTGTTTGAAGAATTGTTTTGTCTTAAAGAAAAGAAAAAAAAAGATGTTTGCACATGGTTTGCAAAGTGGCAGACCAGGAAAAAAACAGTCTTGCATTGGATATATTTGAAGGTATTTTGAAAGTTATGTTCAAAGCTAACACCTGAGCTTTGTGTAATGTAAATAAGATCTTTTGTTGATGAACCTCTTTTCAGCTAAATACTTCGAGTTTTCTTCTGGTTTTTTATTTTCTTTACTTAACATGCCAAGTGATGTTCAAATGTTTTTGTATTTTTTTTTCTTTGTAAATGGCATTAAGATTGTTACTTGAGGTCTGCTTATTCATTTTTGTTGTCCTGAGGACTTGAATTTACAGTGGATCAGATACGTTGCAAATTTTGTCTGTAGATAGTCTAGCTTCAGCTGTTTATGGTGATGCTACTTTTTTGTTTATAAATATGTTTGTGGTAAAAAAAATGAGTATAACCATAGGTTTTGAACAAATTCCTTACATTTTTCATACCAGAATCATAAATACCTGTATGCTATTGAAATCTAACTTTGTATGATGCTTAAAATCACTTATTTGGGGAAATAATAAAGTCTTTACCATGTATGGAAGAAATTTAAGGTCAAAAAGTACAAATATTTTCTGATTAGCATCTAGCTTATAATAAATTTTTAAAAAGCTGAAGGCTGCTGTGCCTTCACCGGGATGCCCTGACAACTATATAGTTACGTCCTGCTTTTTGTATAAACTGAGATGCTCACATGCTTCCCCTTAGAACAAGCAATGTGCTATGCATAACATACTTGTACATGATCTTTGCAGTTGCTTTTTTTGATTATTTCTTTTTTTTAAAAAAAAAAAATCGTAGTTATAAATTTTCAGTAGAGTACAGTACATAAAACTGTTGGAAGAAGAGTGTGAAAGTGAAAGCGATTGTTCATGCTAGATCCATTCAATGCTATTCAAATCGATTGACTTTTTCTGAAAGACGTTCACTTGAAGTGCGAGGAGTAATTGTTCTGTACTAACCACAAACACTCTGCTTTGGGAAAGAACAATAGTAATAATAATAACGATAAAGAGATCCATTGTGGGGAGGGGGGGAAACGTAGCTATTATCTCTGCTACTATATTCTACGGTAGCAAGATCGAAGCATTGGTGAGAAGGCATGTCTATCTGGCTTCACTTTACACTGTTTAACAGAGCACTTAATAAAATGTAAGGCTGGTATTTATTTGAAGTTGTACAGTATGACTTAATTCACATCTGTTGGAGTAGAAAAAATATATTCTGTTGAGTATTTAAAAGAGGCTGTACATGTTTTCTTTTGTGTTTGGATCCTTTGTACTTTTTCATGTTCAGTACATCAATAAACAAAAAGTTGAAGGGAAAGAACGCTGTGGTGCAGAGGTCTTTTAATAGTTCATATTTCTTTTGAGCGTACTTCCCTGGGTTTATTTGTCCTCTGGGTTTTTAAGTTAAATTCAAACTACCTAGTGCAGGAGCCACCCCTCAAAATCTAAATGGCGTAGATACGCCACAGCACCTTGGTGCCCTAGTACAATGTGAAATTCGCGTCTTGAATACCTACATGCCTGGTAAGCTTCCTGCTCAGTATTTCTATTCATAGCAGAAGAAAAATTTTAAAAGCTGTGTTTCCTAGGATGCCTTATTTTGTGAAGAATTAGCACTTGAGACTTCTGTATCAAGAAAGAGGAACATTTCAAGGAACATCAGATCCAGTTAGAACAGACAGCTCTAATTTATATGCACATACATTATTCTAAAAGAACTAGGTTATGATCTCTTCTTCAAATTGTAATGAAATGGCAAGCCAACGATGAAAAAGTCAGTGGATTAAGTTGGTGAAGTGCATCATTTTAGCAGCTGCTAAAATTAAAATAGCAATCTTAAACTCAACTGTTTAGCTAATGCAGGGGTCCCCAAACTTGGCAACTTTAAGACTTGTGGACTTCAACTCCCAGAATTCTCCAGCCATGCTGGCTGGAGAATTCTGGCAGTTAAAGTTCACAAGTCTTAAAGATGCCAAGTTTGGAGACCTCTGAACTAATGTAAATGTTCTTTTTATTTTTCATTTTCTGATATACTCTTTCCTCATTCCAAGAGCACATTAGTGTAAGTTCGTTGATTGGCATCCAGTGTTGATGAATGACACTAAGAAATTAAGCTTTTATTGAAGATGGCATCCGTTTATATAGATTGCTAATACTTTAAAAAAAAAGTGATTGCTGTAACTCTAACCCTTGTGAGAAAAATACTATTTCAGATTTTCATTGTATACCGCTGAGAAGAGTAAGAAAACTCAACCTGGAAAGAGTCTGCCAATGGGGGAAATGATAGAATCCAGAATTTCCCTATTTCTGCAACCTGGATTAACTCCCAACTTTTATCTACTTTTAATTAATTATGAAAATCTGGAAATTATCTTTCCATACAGTGAGACTTAAAGGGGTAAATTATCTTAATGAGGATTATATAAAATAGAATTTTCTATGCACTGAATTTAAAACAGAATTCATTATATTCGACATTCATTTGAGATAGGGATAATTAATCATCCCAGAAACATTTACTATTCCTTGTTCTGTGATATTTTGTACAAAGTCAAATGCACCATAATTCAACTTTGATGGATTGAGATAAAAGAGCTTGAGTTTCTTTTCTAGCCATTTTGTTCTAGGTAAATTCCTATTGTGATAGAAGTCATGGCATTAAGCTGGGCTTTTGTAGAAATTTGCAACGTAGTATTCAGCATATCTATAAAATTAAGGATAGTGGTTTTCACTTAAAACAAGTACGGGCAAGCCTTAACTTCAGTTTTGCATGCACATTCTCCTCTCCATGATTTAGAGCAGTGTTATCATTCCAAAAGTGAAATTGTGTGTTAACTTCATACAATCCCCCAAAAATCCAAAAAAGTCATATGTCTCTGCCTCCCCCCCCCCCCACGTCCTCTCCCCAAAAAAGAAAGTTAATAGCTCTTAGAGGTGACAATATATGGTGGAATTTCAAAAAGCTAGAAGACTTACAAACTACAATGAGATTCTAGGATACTTTATACAGGAATCTAAAAATTATAGGTAGGTTACGTATTATACATAATCAAGTATCTATGAAATTGCATCATGATAATCAGAAGCACAGTAGCTCAGTGGTTAAAGGTACTGAGCTTGTCAGCTGCAGAGCTGACTGCCTGGGTTTGAGACCCGAGCTCCACATAACAGAGTGAGCTCCCATCCTTGTCCCAGCTCACCTAGCAGTTCAAAAGCATGCAAATGCAAGTAGATTAATAGGTACCACTTCACTGGGAAGGTAACAGCATTCCCTGTGTCTTTGGTATATAGCTATGTTGGCCACATGACCACAAAAATTGTTTTTGGAAAATCCTGGCTCCCTCAGCCAAAAATGGGAGGTGAGCACCATTGTCCTACAATCAGACATGACTGACAAGAAAAACTTTACCTAATCAGAAACACCAGTTGTCATGAAATTAATGGTACTGATGTCATAGTTTGCATTTCTGTACATATTTGGTTGAACTGAATTCAGGTAACTGAATCCCCAAAGACATGGAGATGATTCCTTAAATGGCACTTAAAAACCACGAAATGAATGCTAAAATAATTGCCAGCAGAGTAAAGATCAAAAAGTATAAATGAAAGCTTTTAAAAGAATGAAAGGACAAAAAGTTTGGGGAAAGCTTTTTCTTTAAGCAGTCAACTTTTGTCTAATGTCATATATATAATTTGGATGCCCAATGATTTTCTCTGAAGAGGAGCTAAATTTCTTGTTTGAGGGAGTTATTTTTAGGAAATACAAGGTTAAGAGACCCCAATTGACACCAATCAGATTTTAGCAATGGAGTGAATGAGAAGATTTACTTCCAAATGATCAGGTTTCATTCTTTTCTCCCCGAC